CCTCCTTGCAGTGCCACGCCCATGAAGGGCTTGCTTCGGCCTTCTCAACGCGCCGCCCAAGCCAGCGATCGCAAGGATTCCTGCTTCACGCCGCGGCCCTCGCCCGCGAGTGCCTTCAAGAGCTCCCCCCCCAGCTCCAAACGCGAGCTGGCAGCCGGCGCCTGTCGCGGCGGGGGCGGGGGGGCGCCGGCCCCGCCTGCGCGCAGCCGCGAGCGCAGCCCAGCCGCCGCCCCTCGGCGGGCCCCGACACTCGGCCGAATCCCCCCTTCGACCTTCTGAGAAACAACAGTCGCCCAAGATCTGGCCATTACGCCTGGGGCGCCTCCTCGCGAGCGCCGCGCGGAACGCGCCCAGGGGGGCCCGCGGCCCCTCCGAGCCACGGAAAAACGCATTCCCAAGTTGACCGACGTCCGAGCAGTGCCCTTTTACCCTGAGGTCACGGGGCGCCGCGCGCAAGATCGCCTCCAACCCCGAGATAAAAGGGGGGGTCCTATTGCAGCGCGTCGCAGAAGCCACCGATGCCCCGCGACGCATTCGCCTGCGCCCAGCTCTCGATGCGAGGCGACAGCTTCGCCCGCGCAGCGCCTCCGAAGCCTCCCCGCCCCCCTTTCATGGAGAAGACTGCCGCGGCTCCATCTGGCCCTGCGCGACCCGCGGCAACTTGACCACGGCCTCAGTTTGGATAGCACGTCCACGGCGCGATCATCGACCGAAAGCTTCCTGATGACCGCCAACAGAAACATTATAAACCCCCCATCGCGCGCAGCGTTCTTCCAAATTCGCGGGAATGCCCCGCGCCAGTTCCGCGTTGCCAGCGGCGGGGTGGCCGAGCCAGACCCCCCGCCCAGCTGCCCCACGCCCTGGGCCGTGGAGCCCTCAATCTCCCCAACGCCCCCAGTAAATAGATCCTCGTCGAATGAAGCGACATGAGAGTCAGAGGCAGCAGGAAGGACCTCGCCCATCAACTGCGCAATGCCGCCCCTGTCAGCACCCTCGTCAGCCCACTGGGCCTCCCAAGTGCGCGCCCTGATGTCCAGGGCCGTCTTGGAGCCTTTCGAAATCCATTGCCCAATCAAAAAATCCTCCTGGGCGCCCTTGTCCGCGGCCTTCCTGAGGAGCTTCCCAGAGCCCGACGCAGATTGCTCCTCAGCCCATTCTGCGAGCGCCAGGCACTGCAAACCAGGAAGACGAATATGGAAAAGAAGACAAAACAAGACAACCAATCCACATCATGCTGGCCGGCAAGCTTCGCGCGCTACCCCCGGCACCCGCGCGTAGACGAGTTGTCGGCCGAGCCGAGCATCCTGGGCCCCCTGCCCCCTTCCTCGGCAAACAGGCCAACGCGGAAGAGGGCGTCGCCATGGTCGACTCCCCGATCCCCCGGCCAGCTTCCGAAACCGAGGCGGCCTCCAGCATTCCTTAGCCCTGTCCAATTCATCCGTCGGGAAAACAGCTTTTGCCAACCAGTCGACGCCGGCATCCTGAGTACGCGCGCGCGGCGGCGAGGGCATGACCTCAAGACCCATGGGACCTGGCGACCCCTCGCCCAGCGCGGGCCCCAGCATCCTTGCCCGCGCCTTCGCCGCCCAGAAGTAGGAGGTGGAACGCGCTGACATTGCCAGCCCCTTCCTCGAACGCTCTGCCGAGCTTCCGAGATCTATATTCTGTGGCCAGGTCAAGGTAGGAGTTCTGGATGCTGGTGGGCGCCCACCCCCATCTTCAGCCCATCTCGATCGCGATGCTGTTCAATCCTGCCAGAGCCCACGCGGCGCTCATCACCGTCTCGCGCGCTCAGCTTCAATTGAATCGGTTCTCCAGGCACGTCAGGCCCCACACGCAGTTGTTCCTCCTCTGCGGGGCCATCTTCCTTTCCAGTAACACCCACGTGGCTCGGGAATCTCATCGGAGGAAGTCATTTTATCGCGAGCCCCCCGCTCTCACCACCCAGCTGCGGCGCCTTCGGACGAGGGTCGGCCGGGCCGCCGGCAGCCAGAATTCTCTTCCAGGACATTTTACCTCAGGGGTCCGCACGATTTCTGGACTGATTGGGGGGCCGAAGCGCTTTGGGCAATCCCACAGCCCTGCCGACAAAAACTCGACTTCCAACGTGCATGCTACAGAGAGGCCGCAGCAAGCTCGTCCTCCGTGACCGACCCTCTGCACCGACAGATCTTCTGAACACGGTCTCACGTTCCATCTGATACCACCGCGTGGTCAAAGAGAGTTCCTTTCCCGCCTGCGTCAGCGTAGCACACATAACCAAGGAAAATAACATGCCACTGGACCAAGTTGAGCCACCCTGCTTTGATCAATTTCGAAGGTGGTATGCCCCAACAAGAAACGATTGTGAATTGGGACGGCAGCTAAGGCATGTAACGCCATTTGCCTGAGCTTCTGATCATTCGCTCCAGATGTGCACAGCCTCGTGTACAGGAAACCCCCGATGAGCGCGGGGCGGGGGGGGCACCTATGCATGGCCTGCATGGCCCTCTGGCCCCTGAACCTGATGCCGATTTCGCTTGTGGCATTGGTTTGCGTGTGATCCTCCGTCTTGCCAGGTCAGAAACCCCTGCTTGGTGCCGAGTGCCTCGGCGCCCACGAAGCTCACTTCTTAGCTATGTCTATAGCAACAGTTCCTATCATGGAAGAAGACAGGGACGCCTCGCTGCCTGCTGGGCCAAGGGCGCATTCCAATCCATCTCGTAAGGCAATATAAAGAGATACCGCCCTCATCTTGGAACATATGCGTCTCTTTGGCGATCACGGCATACACCTCCATCCCCAGCGCTCTCTTCGCCGACGGGCCCCACTGCGACGTGCTCCTGTTGCACATATTGAAATGCTTCTCCGCTTCAATTCTGACTTTGTCACCATAGACTACCATGCCCCCAGAGAGAGGCAGTGGGCCCGCGGGGAAAGCCCCCGACCCCGCACCCCCCAGTCCCTCGACCCAGCACCCTCCACTGGGCGCGCACTGGGTAGCGCAGATGATGACGATTTGGAGAGAGGGAGGGGGAGGGTAGCTGCGGAAGTGTAGAGAAAACGACGATGATGATGATGATAATAATGATGATGATGATGATGATGATGATGATGATGATGATGATGTTGACGATGATGATGATGATGATGATGATGATGATGATGATGATGATGATGATGATGATGATGATGATACTGACGATGATGATGATGCTGATGCTGATGCTGATGCTGATGCTGATGATGATGATGATGATGATGATGATGATGATGATGATCATGAGGAGGAGGAGGAGATGTAGGAGGACGTGATTGGGACTTCTTGGGTGTAAACTCGGCCTCTGGAGGCCGGTTGGTGGAGCCGTGTTGTGATCATGGTGGCGCATCTTGGGCAATCTTGAGCTCTTTTGGAGTCGTCCGCGAGCCTTCTTGGGACATCTTGAGGGTCACCTGGGCCATCTTGCCGGCGCCTGAAGCATCTTCGGATCTTGGGCTGACGCTCCTCGGAGGCCCTCTTGGAGCCAAATCGTTGGAAAAGGTCGGGGATAACGAAAAATGCAACTAATCTTCAAACACATGGGAGTCATTCGATGTGTGAATGCGGTTACCTACCCGTCTGACCACCTCTTGGGTTCCTGCTGCGGCCTCGTAAGGCCGTCTTGGGATCAGATTTGGGCGCCGTGGACCTCTTGGGCTCTCTTCGAGTCATGCCTTCTCAGAAATTCTGAAGGTTCTTGGGCCGTCTCGACGGCCCCTGGAGCCTCCATGGGGGGCTTTGATGTGTATACATATATATATATATATATGTATGCACTTTTAGACTTATTGAAAAAAGGAAGGAGACGACAAGGAGAAATCAGAAGAATAATCGTAATTAGGTGGGCCTCTTGGGTGTGGAAGCAGAGCCGGTGCTCGCGCGAGAGATCATGAAGAGGGGTGGAAGAGGGGGATTCGGCGGCGGACAAACCTCCCTTTAGTAAACCTACCCTTCGTGAAAACGGCCTGGGACCGAAACCGACGGACCCGGACTCGCAAAAATGACGATCGCGACGCCCTCTCGCGAGCCGAAAACGGCCAATTTCTTAATAGACGTGTCAGGGTAGGAGGCCTGTCTACCCCGGGGGGATGGCGAGGAGTGGGGAGGATGCGGAGAAAAAGGGGGGGAGGAGGCCGAGGAGGGAGAGGAACCAAAGGGGAAATGAGCCGCGGCGAGCACGGGGAAAGAGCAGGGGCGTGATACTGAAGGGGCCCTGGGACACACAAATGAATTCACACAAATAACAGGATTCCCCATATGTTCCCATATTTTCTGGGTATTTGTCTTCCCCCCACTTCCCATATTTTCACATACTTTCCTGGGGATCGACGATTAATTGTGTATGTGTTCTTTCCCTCCTGAGATACCTCTCTGACTCTCTCTCTCTCTCTTTCTCTCTCTCCTCCTTCTCTTCCTTTTTCTAATCAAGGCGTCGTGCAAAAGACACGACGGGTGCTTTCGCCCGGGTTCGAGCTCTGGGATGCTCACGGATCGATCGGACTCGAGAGAAAAGCGCGGATATGGCTATCGAGAGCTCTCGTTGTGTCTTTGCTCGCAACTTCGGCGTGTGCTTTTCACGACGCTGGCCTCGAGGGAAGGAGGAATGGGAGCGTCTTGGAACGGGCATGCCGCCTCTTAGACGCGTCTGGAATACGTCGTAGAGGCAGGAGGGCTTCTGAGGGGTTGGGTGCCTTCTTCAAAAGGCTCACCCCTCGCCAAGTCTCCGACCAAAATTCGCTTAGAACGGGATCCTCTGACCCCTCCCAGGTCCGTCCTGGCCAGCTGTGCTAGCTGCATCTGGCTGTGGCCACGGAGGCGGCACGGGAGACCCAAAGGCTGCAAAACCAGCATCAAAACAATCCATCCTCCTGGTCACCCCTTTCGTCGAGCACGCCCCGCGCAGTGCCGTCGCTCAGCGGCCTCCTCCCTCGCTCCTCGCCCCCTCCTGCGCGCCGAAGGCACGCGGAGCAGGAGGAGCTGCCGTGTGGCAAGCGGCACGCCAGTGAGCAGCCCCGTCGTCGGCTCCGGCGCCGGCACCTCGCAGGCGGCGCGGCGGCGCGGGGAGGGCGCAGAGGACCGAAGGGGGCACCGCGCGGCGCGGAAACGGGTGCTGCGCGAGGGGCAGAATGCCGAGGAGAAGCTGCGCGGCTCTGCCCACCCTGTCGGCGCGTGGGGCAAGCAAGCCATCATGATGCTCCTGCGTGTCCTCGTGTGAGAAGTTTTCGCGTTCTCGCCTGGTCGGTCTTCGAGACGGCCCGACAGCCCCAAGAGGGCCCCAAGCCACGCCCAACTGGCCATCGCTCGGACGTCCATTCCCTGTGTTTTTGTTTGGTTTCGTGCGTGGCTTTTTCGCAGGATGATCCGGGATGCTCCGAGCGATAGGATGATCCAGGATGATCCAGGATGCTTGTTCGTGCATGATCCCCGCCGAGACAAGTACACACGTCCGAGCGATACCAAGCCAAGAGGAAGAACACGGACTGACACTCCGGTCCCTCCGCCCAAAGAGGATCCCCGAGACCGCCAGCAGGCCCCTGAGGGACCCCCCTGAGAGGCCAGCAAGAGGCTCAAAGAAGGCTCGCAGGAGGGGACCCACGAGGTCCCCCAGGAGGCCCCCAGGAGGCCCGCGAGAGCCCTCCGAGCTGCCCCCCGGCGCCGAGAAACACCCCAGGAGACCCTTGTCTGCCTTCACGAGGCCTCTGGTCGACAGCCCTGGGCAGCAAGCCACTAGATTAGATAGAGGTGGCACGGCGTTTTGTTTCTCGGCGGCGAGCGAGTGGGGGGGGGGGCAATGAGAAGGAGAAGGCCTTTTCAGAAGGCTCGGAAGTCCCCCCGCCTCCTGAGCGGTATCTTAAACATTCCCTGAAGACGCAAAAGACCTCATAAGGCGCGAGGGCTCCTGAGAAATCCCGCCGCCTTCTGAGAAGGCCTTCTCCTTCTCATTTACCCAAATCGTTCTCCGCCGATCTTCTCCAGCCTCGCCGTGTGCTTCAAGCCGTCTGGGATACTCGTCGGCCTGCCTTCGTGCGTGGCTCCCTCGCGACCTCCCCGTGGCCTCCAAGTCCCCCCTTTCGAAGTCGGCAGAAGTGGCCGCAAGGCCTCTCAAACATCGTCCACATGGCTTCTTGCGCAGGGACCTACCGTCACGGCATTCCTATAGGCCTACCACGACATGTTCTTAGAACCCGAGTTCTGATGAAAAAATGTAGTTAATACATAAGCCCGATGGGTTTAAACGAGACAATCTCAACCAGAAAGGCTCGAAACACATTTCGTGCAAACCGCAAGAGGATATTAGAACATTCTTCAGTGGGCGCATAGTAGGGAAACGAGCTCTATACACCGACGCGTTTCCCGACCCTGCGCTGAAATTCGCACAGGGACGCGGATCCTGGTGTATACGGGATCCTGGTGTATACGTGTTTCGTTGTCTCCCTTGGACAGCGGGGGAGAAGTATACACCACACCACCCCGACGTCGTCCCCGACCCTCGAAAAGTCCTGGGAGTGAAAAAGAGCCTGCCACTGGTAATGTACACCGGACTCACTTCTATAGCGCTCACTTCTATAGTGCTCACTTCGAAATTGTGGTCCGGAAGGGGCCGCACATGCAGGCACATGCCGCACAGTCGCATGCACATGCCCATGCAGCTATACAAAAGCCTCAACAGCATTGCCGCGCATGCGCGCACATGCCACACCGTCCGACGCACAGTCGAATGCACGTCAAGCAAAACTCTGAAAGCATAGACGCACATGCCCGCACATGCCGCAGAGATGTCGCAGGCGATAGTGGCCTGACCACCTGAGCTCGGGGCATTTCGCAACCCAGAGTTGCGAGGATGTCTCAGGCAAGCGTGGCCAGACCACCATGGGGCAGGGCATCTCGGAACCCAGAGTTGCGAGGGTCTCAGGCGAGAAAGGCCGAGACACTATGGAGCAGGGCATCATTGAGGTCAGAGTTGCGAGGATGTCTCAGGCGAAAGTGGCCTGAACACCTCCACTCAGGGCATCTCGGGCGAGGATGTCTAAAGCGAAAGTGGTCTAACCACTTCAGCTCAGGGCGTCTCGGAACCCAGAGTTCCGAGGATGTCTCAGGCGAAAGGGGCCGAGACACTATCGAGCAGGGCATCATTGAGATCAGGGTTGCAAGGATGTCTCAGGCGACAGTGGCTGACCACCTCAGCTCGGGGCATATCGGAATCGAGACTTGCGAGGATGTCTCAGGCGACAGTGGCCTGACCAGCATGGGGCAGGAGATCTCTGAGGTCAGAGCTGCGAGGATGTCTCAAGCGAAAGTGGTCTAACCACCTCAGCTCAGGGCGTCTCGAAACCCAGAGTTCCGAGGATGTCTCAAGCGAAAGTGGCTGGGCCACCATGGGGCAGGGCATCTCCGAGACCACACTTGCGAGGATGTCTCAGGCGAAGGTGGCCAGATCACCTCATGTCGAAGCATGTCGGCCTCCAAATTGCCGACGACGTCTCACGCAGAACCGGCCAGACGCGAACGCGCTGGCGCCCAGAGACGAACGCCGGCCCCGGCATTCTTGCACGTTCCGCACATGCCCCGCACAGGTACGCACAGTATTCGCACAGGCCGAGCTCGCCAGTGGCCGAGCCAGGCCAGCGATTCCGAGATTCCCTGAGCTCGGGCCGTCAAGCCACTTTCGCCTGAGACATCCTCGCAACTCTCACCTCCTCCTCCTCCTCCTCCTCTTTCTCCTCCTCCTCCTCCTCCTCCTCCTCCTCCTCCTCCTCCTCCTCCTTCTCTGGCCGAGCCGAACAGGCGGGCGGCCCGGCCGAGCCGGGGGCGACCGCCTCCTCCGCCCCCCCCTCCTTCCCCCCCCCCCTTCCACCTCCCCCCCCCCCACCCCTGCTTCTCCAGCCGAGCTGAGAAGGCGCGCGGGAGAGTGTTTTACTAGGAGGGCACGCCACCGCCAGCTCACGAACAGGGCGAAGAACCGCCCCCGCCAGCAGCGGGCGAGTCTAAACGCACAACAAACTCTTTCAGGAAGCCCTGGCACGCCCCAGGTTAGCTCTGCGAAGGCCGGGAGGCATTGGAGGCACAGGGGTCCCAGACAGCTCCTGGGGCATGAGCGTGCATGTGCATTGGGATGTGCACGCATGTGCGCCCGCGCGCTTCACCGCATGTGCGTGCATGTGCGGGCCCGCTCGGCCTCCCGAAGAGAGGTTGCACAGGCATGTGCGTGCATGTGCCGATGACAGATCTGCGATTCTCGAACACCTCCCGCCTGTGCAGGCATGTGCGCGCATGTGCGTCGGACTGTGCGTGCATGTGCGTATGATGGATACATCAAAACACAGCGCACATGCCCCCGCACATGCCCGGGCACGACGTGCACAGGAGGAAGTCCATCCAAGAAGGGCCGCACAGGCCTGGCACATGACTGGCACATGCCACGCACATGCGCGCACATGACAGCGCAAAAACGGCCGCACATACACCTACCCAGGGGTATAGATGTGAGTGCGGTGTATATGTTCCAGCTTCCGATCTTAGAACATTCTTCAGTGGGCTCACAGAGCAGCCAGAGCGCTTCCCCACTGCTTCACGCGAAGGCTTGGCAGGCGTCGTCCCCGACCCTCAAAAAGTCCTGGCATTGAAACAAAACCCGCCACTGGCAATGCAGATGCTCCCGTTCCCCACATCCTTCGGTGGGCTCACAGGGAGGCCCGAGCGCTTCGCCGCTGCTTCGCGCGTGGCGCTTGGCGGGCGGAGGGCGCCGACGCCCGCTGCTTTCTCCGCCCGCGGCGACGCCCTCGTCCTGCATCCTGCCTGCTGCCGCGGGTCGACCGCCGGCCTCCGACGACGGCGACAGGTCACCCACCCGTGTCCATGGAGGAGGAGGAGGAGGAGGAGGAGGAGGAGGAGGAGGAGCTTGAGAGACTTCCTCGAAGGGAACTCCTGCTGAATGGGCGGCTCCACACTGGGCCACGCGCCCGCGTGCGTGTGCGCCCCCCTGGGGCCACCCATCATCGCGCTCCGCACCGCGCGGAGCGCGGATGGGGCGCACACTTTCCTTCGCGTTTCCGCGCCGCTCCATCCAGAAAGGAGGAGCACCTCTCTCCGCCCCCGCCCGCGACTGGCGCATATCCCACGCGCCCCCGTAGGTGACCCGTGGGTTTCCGTCTGGAGGGGCGCCTCTGCACTTCGGGGGGATTGTGATACAGCAGACACAAGAACTCTTCGTGGAAGATTGGGGGTCTGCGTCGATCTTTGAGGGTGGCCCTGAACTGCCACGCCGCGAAGCAATCCTGGCATCCGGGCGGGGCGGCAGAATCGCGACGGTGCGTCCTATCCTGGGCCTCCAACCCCAAAGCCGCCACAGGAAGGTGGGCTCGAAGGCTCCAGTCGTGAAAAATAATAAAAACAACCCGTTGGAGGGAACAGGGGGGGTAGACGGGCTCGAACCGGCGGCTCTAATCGAATCCTGCCACTAGGGCTGGATCCAGCTCTGGTAGAATCCGAAGAGGTCTCGATCAAGCTCAGCCCCAATAGAATCCTACTAGGACTGGGTCCAGCTCTGACGGAATCCTACACAGGTTCGATCGAGCTCGAATCGAATCCTGCTACGAAAGCTGGACTGGACCCAACTCTGATAGAATCCGACCATGGCTCGATCCAAATGCTAAAGTATCCGACTGTTGGCTGGATCCAGCTCTAGTTGAATCGGTCGAGTGCTCGATTGAACTCCGTTCGGGTCCTACTATGGTCCGGATGCAAGTCTCATAGAGCCGCATGGAAGCCCCATCCAGCTTCCACGCATCCTGCTGGGACCCGGTCCAGCTTTCTACAAAGCCCAGGTCCAGCTCTACTTGAATCTGGCTTAGGCTGGACCCACCTGTGCTCGAATCCCCCTTCTGGTCTGAACCAGGGGGAGGGGCGGCCCCTCAACCCCACCCACCCAACCACTCCCGGATCGAGCTGGGGGGTGGGAGTCCGCCCCCCCCCCTTCGGCTCGGAGTGGGTGGCTGTGTTACCCCCCTCCTCCTCCTCCTCCTCCTCCTCCTCCTCCTCCTCCTCCTCCTCCTCCTCCTCCTCCTCCTCCTCGGTTCGGAGTTGGTGCCAGTAGCGGCAGGAAGCACTCTCTCAGACGGCTTGTTCCGTGCTTCCGAGGTCGGGCGCTGGAACGCTCGACCCCACCTCTCGCACGGATCTCGCAACACGGGCCCTTTCGTGCGGGTCCCCTCGGTGCCCCAAACCAGCACATGGGCGCCGAAGCTCAGAAACATATCAGCCATACAGCCAAGACGCTGAAATGAGGAATCGTTCGGGTTGGGGGAAGGGGCTCGACGTTCCTTACATTTAGTAGGTCCGTCCATGCCTACTTCTCCAGCGTTCCTCGTCCACGCAGGCAGGTTTAGGGGTCAAAGAAGGGGCGTCGTTCCTGATTTGGCGTTCCTTCTGTCAGCGGCCCGACTGTAAGCAAATCCAAGGGGGGGGCGGGGGGGGGCGCAGCGCCTGCCCCGCTGCTGCCACTGGCGCCGCCGCCCTCGAGGCACCAGTCCGCCTCGCCGTGCGGGCCAGCGCAGAGATAGAGCTAAGCCTCCTCCGCCTCCTCCTCCTCCTCCTCCTCCTCCTCCTCCTCATCCTCCTGCTGCTGCTGCTCCTGCTCACCCTCCTCCTCCTCCACCTCCTCCTCCTCCACCTACTCCTCCTCCTCCTCTCCTCCTCCTCCTCCTCCTCCTCATCCTCCTCCTACTCCTGCTCCTCCTCCTCCTGCTCCTCCTGCTCCTGCTCCTCCTGCTCCTCCTGCTACTCCTCCTCCTCTTCCTCGTCCTACTCCTCCTCCTCCTCCTCCTCGTCCCCCTCCGCCTCCTCCTCCTCATCCTCCTCCTCCTCCTCCTCCTTCTCCTCCTCCTGCTCCTCCATTCCTCCTCCACCTCCTCCTCCTTCTCCTCCTCCTCCTGCTCCTCCTCCTCACCCTTCTCCTCATCCTGCTGCTCCTCCTCCTTCTCCTTACTCTCCTCTTCCTCCTCCTCTCCTCCTCCTCCTCCTCCTCCTCCTCCTCTCCTGCTCCTCTCTGCTGCTGCTGGTCCTCCTCCTTTCTCCCCTCCTCGTCCTCCACCTCCGTCTCTCCTCCTCTCCCGTTCCTGGTCATGCTCCTCCTCCTCCTCCTCCTCCTCCTCCTCCTCCTCCTCCTCCTCCTCCTCCAGCTCCTCCTCCTCCTCCTCCTCCTCCTCCGCCTCCTCCTCCTCCTCATCCACCTTCCCCCCTCCTTCTCTTCCTCCTCTTCCTGATCCTCCTCCTCCTCCTCATCATCCTGCTGCGCCTCATCCTCCTCCTCCTCATCCTTCTCCGCCGCCTGCTCCTCATCCTGTCTTCCCTCCTTCTTCTTCTCTTCCTCCTCCACCTCCGCCTGCTCATCCATCTCCTCCTGATCCTCCTCCTCCGAACCTCCTCTTCCTCCTCCTCCTCCTCCTCCTCCTCCTCCTCATCAACATCATCATGGTCGTCATCATCATCATCATCATCATCATCATCATCATCATCATCATCATCATCATCATCATCATCATCATCATCATCATCATCATCATCATCATCATCATCATCATCATCATCATCATCATCATCATCATCATCATCATCATCATCATCATCATCAGTATCATCATCATCATCATCATCATCATCATCATCATCATCATCATCATCATCATCATGATCAGCAGCATCAGCATCATCATCATTATCATCATCATCATCATCATCATCATCATCATCAGCATCATCATCAGCATCATCATCAGCACCATCCGCATCATCATCATCATCATCATCATCAGCAGCAGCATCATCATCATCATCATCACCAACATCAGCATCATCATCAACAACATCAACATCGTCATCATCATCATCATCATCATCATCATCATAATCATCATCATCATCATCATCATCATCACCATCACCATCATCATCATCATCATCACCATCATCATCATCATCATCGTCATCATCATCATCATCGTCATCAGCATCATCAGATTCGGCCTCATCCTCATCATCATCATCATCATCATCGTCACCACCATCGTCATCACCATCAGCATCATCAACATCAGCATCATCAGCATCAGCATCATAAACAGCATCAACATCATCATCAGCATCATCATCAGCATCATCGTCAGCAACATCAGCGTCAGGATCATCATCAGCATCAGCAGCATCATCATCATCATCGTCATCGTCCTCATCAGCATCCTCCTCCTCATCATCAGCATCATCATAATCACCGTCAGGAGCACCATCTTCCTCAGCAGTACCATCATCATCATCATCATCATCATCATCATCAGCAGCAGCAGCAGCATCATCATCATCATCATCAGTATATTCGGCATCAGTGTCATCAAGACCCTACAGTTCCATCTCATCCTCCTGCTCCTCCTCATCCTCATCCGCCTCCTCCCCCGCCTCCTGTTCCTCCTTCTCCTGCTCCTCCTCATCTTCCTCCTCCCCCATCCTCCTCTTCATCTTCCCCCCCTCCTCCTCATCATCATCCTCCTCATCCTCCTCCTTTTCCACCTCCTCCTCCTCATCTTCATCCTCCGCATCCTCTTTATGTTCATCATGCTGTTGCCCCTCATCCTCCTCCTCATCCTCATCATCCCCCTCCTGTTCCTGCTCCTGCTGCTGCTGCTGCTGCTGCTCCTCCTCCTCCTCCTCCTCCGCCTCCTCCTCTTCCTCCTCCCACTGCTCCTGCGCCTGCTCCTGCTCCTGATCCTGCTCCTCCTCATCATCCGCCTCCTCCTCTTCCTCCTCATCCTCCTGCGCCTGCTCCTCCTAATCATCCTCATCGTCCTCCTCCGCCTCCTCCTGTTGCTCCTCCTCCTCCTCCTCATCCTCCGGATCCTCCTCCTTCTCCTCCTGCTCCGTCTCCTCCTCCTCATATTCCTCCTCCTCCTCCTCCTCCTCGTCCTCATCCTACTGTTCCTGATCCTGCTCCTGCTCCTGCTCCTGTTAATGTTCCTCGTCCTCCTCCTCCTCCTCCTCCTTCTATCCTCCTCCTCGTCCTCGTTACCCTCCTCCTGCTGCTGCTCCTCTTCCTCCTCCCTCCTCCTCCTCCTGCTCCTGCTCCCCCCTTTCCTGCTCATGATCCTCCTCCTCCTCCTCCTCGTCCTCCTCTTCCGCCTCCTCCTCCTCCTCCTCCTCCTCCTCCTCCTCCTCCTCCTGTTCCTGCTCCTCATCATCCTCATCCTCCTCCTCTCGTGCTCCTCTGCCTGCTGTTCCTCCTCCTCCTCCTCGTTATCCTCCTCCTGCGTCCTCTTCCTTCTTTTCCCCTCCTCCAGCTTCTCCTCCTCCTCCTCCTCCTCCTCCTCCTCCTCCTCCTCCTCCTCCTCCTCCTCCTCCTCCTCCCCCTCGTTATCCTCCTCCTCCTCCTCCGCCACCTCCTCTTCCCGTTCCTCCTCCTTCGCCCACCCCTCCTCCACCTCCTCCTTCCGCCCTCGTCCTCCTCCTCCTCATCCTCCTCCTGCCCCTCCTCATCACCATCAGCATCATCATCATAATCGTGTGCGTCCTCTTCTTATTCATATCAGTAGATTCAAAAGTTTCCGCATTGCTGTTCGTATTGGAAGTTTTCTTCGTACCAATATTAGAATTGCGATCCAGCTCCTAAGTATGCTCAGTATACTGATGAATGACAACCTTCGTAGTAGTACCAATATTAGCATTCATGTTCTTGTACCCATGATTATTCCTATTCGTAGTAACCCTAAACGGGCGGTAGCAACCCCCCGCGGATAATAAAGTTCGCGGTTCCCGCGGTGATAATTAAAGGATTTCCCCTACGGAAGGTATGTTATGATAATGATGATGATGGCGATGATGGTGGAGGAGAAGGAGGTTAAACCAGGCGCATGACAGAAGCCTGACTCGAGCGATCTGTTGTCTCGTGGCTATTTGCCCGCAGAGGCGCACTACACAGATATTATTCGAGAGATCTCGAGGCTCGCGGCTACTTCCCCGCAGAGGCGCAGGACACAAGGCTGACTCGAGCGATCTCGAGGCTCGCGGCTGGGCGCCTAGATTTTGCCAGCGCAAGAAAGGTCCTTGGCCGATCTGGCCAAGAAACCCCTCTTGCGCTGGACTGCGAACCGCCCCCCCATGCAAGCACGGCACCCTTTGGAGCCGTCCCTTGGTGCAAAGCTGGGCGGCGGCACTAGCCTCCTAGTAGGTGGCGTACTTCGGCTCGGCCGCCGCGGGGCCCTTGCGCGGACTGGACTCGCGCTTGGCCTTGGCCTTGGCCTTGGCCTTGGCCTTGGCCTTGGCCTTGGCCATCGCCACGCCGTTGTCGCTCGCCCCCTTGAGCTTGCCGATGAACTCGTTCCCTCGAGCGACCACGGCGCGGAGAGCTGCCGGCATTTAACGGCCCTCGCCTCGGATCTCGCGCAAGGCGCGCTCGGTCCAACGACTTGCCCAGAGGCCGCAGCTCCAACCGTCTACTTGGCACCGTCTGTTGCTCGGTGCTGGGCAATGCTCGCCATGGCCAATGGCGCCAAGCTTGCGGAGGATCCTCGCGGCGGCCTCGGGGCGCCACGCGCGAACCCTACCCGCGACTTCTGAGGAGGAGGGCGGGGTACACTTTGCTCGGCAGCCCCCGAGGAAAGTGATCCCCACCTTCCCCCCTCAGAAATCACGGGGTGTAGGCGTGAGTTCGCATGTGGCGCTTTTGGGCCTGCTCGGCGTTCTCGGACGGCTACTTGAGGGCGTCGCGGTAGTCCACCTCGACGCCGCCCCCGCCGATCCTCGTGACCTGGCGGGAATTGCCGCAAGTGCCCCCTGCCCAGGGCGCCTCCAGGATTCGCGCCAAACCGGGGCGGAACGCTGGAGGCACCCTGGGGCGGGGGGGCACTGCAGCAACCGCCGACCTTAAGTGCGCGTTGTGCGCGGGCGCCTCGGAATGCACGCAGACCAGCACGTGCTGGGGCTTGTCGACCCTCTCGGCCCAGCGCTTCTGCTCCTCGGGCTGCTGGGCGGCGGGTGCGCCCTCGCCCTGGCCCTCTCGACCCCGGGCGACTGCCGCCGTGGGCTCGACCGCCAGCACGTTGTCGGGGGCGCCCACTCGCTCCTCGATCTCGCCCAGCAGCGCGCGCACCGTGCCCAGCTCGAGGGCGTCGCCCTTGACGATATGCTCGCATTTCATGATCGCGTACTCCGTGGCGGGCGCGGTGCGGCGAGCGTCTCTTGTCTGGCGCCAGTCGAGCTTCTGCGGCTCGGAGAACTTGCAGTCCTGCTCGATCGTGACCTGTGGCGCTCGGGATTCGCAAGCGCTCGTTAGCTTCCGCCTGCTGCGGCTTTCCTTCCGCCTGTTTCCGCTTCGCGTTGCTTCCGCCTGCGTCCACCTGTTTCCTGCTTCCGCGTTCCTTCCTTGACCTGTCCGCCAACTTCCACCTATTTCCGCCGCCCCAGGCAGGAGCGGGCGGAAGCTGACGAGTGCCTGTGACCCTCGAAGCCTCGCTGCTGTCGATCTGGACGATCGCCGCGGTCTCCACCTCGAGGACGCGCAGGCGGCACTCGTTCTCGGCGCCCAGGACTCGCCAGACGTCCTGCACTCTGCCGCGCCTGCCCTCGCAGTTGCCCTCCTCCGCGACGCGCGCGACCTTGCCTTGCCAGGGGGGCTCCTCGCAAGACTCGAGGCCTTTCTCCTGCTTGGCCTTGTCCTTCTTCGCGGCGTTCTTCTCAGCCTGCTTCTCCTGCTTGAACTTCTTGGAAAAGCTCCCGCGCGCCTTCGGCGGGCTGCCTGTGAGCTTCGCCTTGGCCGCGCCTCTGCTGAGGTGCTCGAGCGAGGTCTCGCCGCCAGTTTTGGCCTTCTCGCGCCGCGACTCGCGAGCGGTCTTGCCCAGGGACTGGCCGGCGCACTTGGACGCCCACCTGTTCTTGCGCTTAGCTGCCCGTTTCAGCTCGATCATGTTTTCGAGGGCGCGCGGGAACTTGATGTCCTTGATCCGCTCCTCTGGCGGTTTGAGCATGTCCTTCTGCTCGTCAGCGAGCTCGAGGTCCAGCTCTCGGAGCTCCAGGAGGCAGGGGTTCTCGCCCTCCTCGCAGTTCCTCGGCAAGTAGTCGTTGTGGGAGCAGTCGCCATCGAGGACGCCCCACTCGGGCGCTGGCGGCACGCCCTCGGGCCAACTCTGGATGCCCTCGAGGCGCTCTTGCGCCAAGCTGTTCTCGATGCCGCGGCCGGCCTCGGTGGAGTAGCCCGCGACGACCTTGACCTCGCCTTGCTCTGTCGGCCGGAGCACGAGCACCTGGTTGGCCTGCATCCCTTGCAGCGGCGCCGCGTCCTTGTTCTGCTCGCGGAAGCGGGCGCAGGCCTCGGAGATGCAGTAGAGGCACTCGTAGGGCCCACATTGTGTCGGGGACATGTGCTCCTTCTGGGGCTCGGCCTTGGCCCTCTGGAGCCAGTCTAGCTCCATGGCCCAGTGCATCTCTGCCGTGACCTCTCGGATCTTGGCCTTGAGCTGGCTGTGCTCGCGGGCGCCGGGCCCCTGCGAGATTCTCGCGACGTCGGGGGCCACGGGCGCGCGGATGACATTCTTGGGCCACGCTCGCAGCGCCACTGCCTCAGCCCCCTGGTTCGAGAGGCAGTCTGTAACACGGGCCTCTGGCCGTGCTCTTGCTCGATGAAGTCGATGGTCCAGCTTGCCACCACCTCATCCGTCCAGGCTCTCGGCTGCCCTCACGCGTCGATGGCCTCGAAGACCTTCGCGCGTTCCGCCTCGGAGAACTCGAGCAAAACGTTGCGCCAGCCCATGAGCAGTGCTCCTAGGGGCTCGCCTGCTCGGAAGCGCTCCGCCTCGCCATCGCCCCGCTCGTAGGTGACGTCTCGCCGCCGGGTGCCCTCCTCGAGGTTCATGTCGCTGACTCGGCAACGCCTTGCGCAGGGGACTAGGGGCACGCTGCGCTTCCGGGCGGACCTCGGCCCCCTGCTCGGGCCGAACCAGTTCTCGACCGCGGAGACGCTGATCAGGGTTATCCTACAAGTGTCTCCTGCGCTCGAGTAGGCCTGCCCCGCTTAATCCTCGTGATCGGGGTGGTCTGTCAAGTACTTGGCTTTGTCTGCCTCGAAGGTTGCCTTGTCCTGCTCGCCGCGCGCCTCGCGAAACTTACCGCGGAGGTTCTCGATGAGTTTCTTGGCGCCCGCGGCGTGCACCTTTTGGGCGCTCGAACTGCGCGCGGAAAGAATTGGCACAATGCCCCGCAACAGTTGTTGTGCCGAACCAACAGCGGCCGCTGTTGGGCAGGCGGTGTTCTGTCTCGAATGTACGCAAGCCGCGGCGACACCGACAGCGAATCGGGTTCAAAATGAA